TCAATTCATACCAGACCCTTTAGGTCTGGTAGGAATGTTAGGAGGGACCCTAAGAAAAAAAAAGTGCGTGGGGTTTGGAAGGAATTTTAAGGGGGAACCCCAGCCCCAAATAATGGGGAAAAAATGTGGGTGCCCACCTAACTGTCCTACCAGACCCTTGATCCGAGCACTGGCACGGCAGGGCAGGAAAGGGGGGGTGATCGAGCGACTCCCCCTCTCTGCGCCTTACCAGGTCACATGCCCTCGGCATTGGGAGGGTGTCCCCATGCCGATGGGGACAAGGGCCTCTTCCCCACAACCCTGACCCGGTGGTTGTGGGGGTCTGCGGGCAAGGGAGCTTATTTGCATCGCGATACCCCTTTAATTAAGGGGGCACCCAGATGCCGCTCCCCCTTGTGAATGAGTAAGGGGTACTTGTACCCCTACCCATTCACTAAAGGGTTAAATAAAATAATTATTAAAAAGTCCAGACTTTTGATAAAATCCTTTACTTGAAAAAAAAACAACAATTATTTGACTAAAGGGTCTGGTATGAATTGTGTCTAATGTCATTTTGCTACAAACGAAATATCGTACAGACTACCGCTAACGAATTTTGGAATCGTTTGCATTCATTATATCTGTAATTCGGAAACATCTGAATTTACGAAATGTCGTCCGAAATTCGATTAGGGAACGAAACGAATTGCACATGTCTACTAAGTACAGGCACACAGAAAAGAGCACAGAGGTGGTTGGGGAAAACGTACAAACAAGGTAGGAGACGAGCACACAGGAACTACAACAAATGGGAACACAAGAACCAAGCAAACGGGGAATAGCCAACAGGGAGATCATGAGCAAAGGGGGAATAGCCAACAGGGAGATCACAAGCAAACGGGGAGTAGCCAAGAGGGAGATCACAAGCAAACGGGGAGTAGCCAAGAGGGAGATCACACGCAAAGGGGGAATAGCCAACAGTGAGATCACAAGCAAAGGGGGAATAGCAAACAGTGAGATCACACGCAAAGGGGGAATAGCCAACAGTGAGATCACAAGCAAAGGGGGAATAGTCAACAGTGAGATCACAAGCAAAGGGGGAATAGCCAACAGAGAGATCACACGCAAAGGGGCATCAGCACAAAGCAGGGATCCAAAAAGGTATACCAGCACAGGAGATCATGGGAAACACAAGGGGTCCAACACAAGAAGGAAGACTTGTTGCTCGAACGAAAAGCAACAAGTGACAGAGTGCTAAATAGGGGAGGAGGTGTGCAGATTGGCTGCAGCCCTGTGGAATACCATAGTCTGACAGCCAAGCACCAGGGACCAACATGAAAATCTGGCATGGATTGCTGGACATTGTGACACTGGTCCTCCAAATTCTCTAACAGCTCAGCTTTGCTACATTTAAGGGGTAACTCCCCACACCCTAATTCTTACTGAACTGTAATGAGGTTTACCAAAGATCATTCAACAAGTACTGAACACACCAAGTGTTGGCACATTCCAACAGCAGCACTGTTTTAAAAGGACATATCACCAATATTCATTTGTAATCTAAATCAACCCTCTTTAATTGTTGTATTTTTTAGCCTTACCTCTCAGGGTTTTGATTCATTTTTTAATATTTACATATATTCTCTCCCTGTCACAGCAAAAGTGTAAGGCTGTAAAGCCATCCTATCTTGTGCCTGGCCTAGTGCTGATAACAAAAACTGTCATATAACAAATGTGATGTAACATAAATGAAGACTACATGCTTTGTTATATTATAACTTAAACCGCCTTCAACAGTTCAGAGTAGCTGTAAGTTACCAGCCTTGAGCTGCGGCAAGATATAAGTCTTCCTGAATAGGCCCCGTACAACCTGACATTTTCTGCTCTGACAGGGAGCGAATACAACTAAATAATAATACACACACCAATCCTTGAAAGGAAAGGCTCCGCAATTGTAGCAACTTTTTAATTAATAATTTTACAAATGCTCATTTCTGATTGTCTCTCTTTAAAATATTTGCTGTTCACACAAGATATTTAGCGTGAAAGGTTGGCTGTATAAAAAGAAACTGAACAACTTATTTTGTACTGCTTGGTGTACCTTTCTGCTCACCATTTCCTTGTCTCACCCCATTACATGTACAAAGTTGACAATTTGTGTCTTGTATTATAAATTATCTACCTACTTTTTTTAATTACTAACCTGTGACGACTGACATATGTGGTATAGGCACTGAACTTGTTTCACGTTCTGAGGGATGATTTGTAAAACCTGGTCCCTAAAAGGTAAAAAAATAGTGTGAGCAGATGGATATTTATTAATCTGATATGCAATTACAATTAATTTTTAAAGCTTCAAAAGGGTATAACAAGTGAACTTTAAAGCCACAGCCTAAACTGGAAAATATATAGGGACTCCTCCCCAGTTAGATGCTGACGATAATGAACCCTTTATTAATACATTCATGCCTTGCTCATTTAATAACTCGAACGACCTTGAGAATTTCTGCATGGTTCCTTTTCATCTCTCCCCACATCTTAAATTCTCAGGCATGGTAATCTGCTTGAATCGATTTTTTGTCTTTTTCTGAAAAAAGAGGCATATTTAACCCTCTAAGGGGACAATTAATGTGCTTATTACAGCACTAAAGTTTAGCACTAAATCTGATGCAGATCCCACTGAGAATAGTGTTTAAGTGGTCTCTACAAATTAGAGACTTTATAGCATTTGTAGACAGGTTCTGTAAAATATGATCATTTCTAGCCTGACTGCCTACTCTATTGAAGTGTTTCATTTATTATTTGAGTGAAAGCAACTAAAATGTCTACTGGTAGTTGTGGAAAAGATGAAAACGAATTTATTAACCGTAAAATGGCTATGGTGTCTGTACACCATGGAGATATTCATCTTGTGGGCATAAACAATACTTATTAGAACGAAGCCTATCAATTCACCAAGAACCAGCACTGTCTACTGCGATCCTCTAAGAAAGCTAATGTGGTCAAGGATTTCTTTCGTAGACCTCATGAATAAAATGCAGCCTCCCTAATATAATTCTTTATATCATTTGTTTTTATATTAGGAACCTTGGGAATTTTCGAAAATATAGCTAACAGGTTTGAAGTCATTATATATTTAGTGTCTGCATGGATTAATTTAATGTCTTTTTTATTATAAAAAACAGCATCTGTTTGACGTGTAATTTATTTGTGTAAATAATCTTTTTCTAACACATTCCTCTAATTTTCCAATAATCTTCCACGCCCATGCCCAACTGCACTTAGATCGTCACTACTTGGAGCCCAGTTATAAAGCATCAGTAACTGCCCATTCACACTGAGCGTTTATTTGCGCGATTTCTGCCGCGATATCGCGCATATTTGCCACGCGATATCGTGAGAAGTCGCTCGTCCAATGATTTTCAATGGAGCTGTTCTATTCTACAGCTCCGTGTCGCCTGTCGCTCGTCCCTGCCGCGCGTCGCTTGTGCAGGGCCCCTTTTGCTGCGCATGTCGTGCGATTCTGCTCGTACTTGCGTGCAGCCCTATTAGACCCGTCGTGCGACTGTCGTGCCAAAATCGCACAACTACGATCGTGCGGAAAAACGCACAATCTACATGTCGCTCAGTATGAATGGGGCCTTAGGCTACACTGTAACAATACTACTTCTTTAAGAAGAAAAACACACAGTTATAATGCACAGCAGTGTGGTTTACAAATTTGCATTGGGTTTATCTTGCTACAGGACTCCGAAGTTAAAGGAGTACTGTATATATAAATAGCAAAAGAAAATTGGGAAGAGGGCCTGATCGTGTCACCTGCCAAAGTCATGTCATTGGCTTCTCTTCTAACCAAGGAGTTCTTTCTCCGTGCTTTAGGCAGTGAGAGTTATATGACATACCGCAGGCTCCATATTTTATGCATTTTATGAATGAACATGAAATATAGGCCACAGCAACTTTGTGTTGTAAAGCAGAGAGCATATAGTGGCATTTGCCCTCTGCTATAAATATCCACCTTAGGTTGGCCATACACGCAGTGATTTGTGATTGATTTAGGACAGAAGATTTGCAAACAAATGATTCATAAACTTTTAAAATATCAAAGAATGCAACATACAGTATTGTTTTACACTTTTTTATTGACTAAAAGTATAATTCTCAAATGAAAGGAAGATGCACACCACTAGCATTACTGTAAAAGTTTGTTGACATCCGACAGCCAAGATGCTCCTCTCCCCGCTCGTGAAACACCCCTCTAACGTGTTTCACCCTGGCAGGCTTATTTGTATTCGTCCTCTACAAATAAGCTCAACAGGTTGTACCTCATCAGAGGTGGGCAGTTTAAGGGAGGGAGCAGGAGCATATTAACTGTTGGATAGTAATAAAGTTTTATGGTGATGACAGTGGTGTGTGGCATCTTCCTTGCATTTGAGTACAGGTGAAACTCAAATAATTAGAATATCGTGCAAAAGTAATTGCAGTAAGTGCTGCAAAAGGGGCCCAAACCAAGTACTGAGTACATATGCATGCTTGTACTTTTCAGAGGTCCGATATTCTTCTATGTACAATCCTTGTTTTATTGATTGCATGTAATATTCTCATTTTTTGAGGTTGTGGATTTGGGGTTCTTGGGGTTTTCATGAGCTGTAAGCCATAATCATCACAATTATGACAAATCACAGCTTGAATTATCTTGCTTTGCATGTAATGAGTCTATCTCATATATTAGTTTCACCTTTTAAGTTGCATTAGTGAAATAAATGAACTTTGCACGATATTCTAATTATTCGAGTTTCACCTGTACTCTCTTTAGAGCGTGGCTGGCTTCCTGCTGATACCCACACCTTGCCCAGACAGGATAACTGAGAGTGGGTTGGAGCGGTGGATTATCTCTGGGACTAAGTAAATAAAATATAGATTAAAAATAGAAATTAGTTATAAATGATAGTGATCTATTAAAAAAGATCACTTAATCTATCTAAATTATGATCGGTTCGCCCGACACACGCATATTTGTGTTAGAGTCATACTCACTGTGACTACAATAATCAAAATGAATAAAAAGCACATACTAAAAGACCCTACAATCAATCAACATAGTGAGCTCCAAATCAATTTTGATGACCGCCTGTGGTGGAAGTTTATCAATCACTTCTGATCAATCGAACAATTATCAGCATGTGTCAGGGGAACAGAGTGTTGATCGCAAAGTGTGGAACAATATGGTGTGCGTTGCATTGTTTGATATTTTGATAAATCACTAGTTAGCGATCACAACTAACTAAATTGATTACAAATTGCTACGAGTAAGTCCACCTCAAAATCGCATTCCTCCCTCTGACTTAGCATTTTGTCAGTAAGTCTTTCGCTGTTATTAGACAGCTAAGAATGTATGTAAATTAGCAATGTGAAGGAGCTTTTGGTTATCCAGTGCAATTATCTCTTCATTTACAACTGTTGAGATAAAATATCAGCCACATAGGGAGTGTGTTGTTTTCAATAAGACAGCCAACTTGTAGACTTGAATTTTGAGAAGGAGCAGTACAGCATAAACACTGTGTAGAATTGCAAAGCAGGAAGTGGAGCATGTTTATAAAATGAACAAATATGGTTGCCCCCATGTACAAACTGAAATGCCTTTTAATCACCTAAATCCACGGTCACATGGCGTTCCAGTCCTCCTCAGTCTGTTATCTTCCTCTGTGTGTAGAACGCAGGGTTCCTCTTTAGGTGTCCACATGACTGCCTGCATGACATGGACACTTTCTATGGCTGTCCACTGGCAGGGTCCTCTCAACATTAAGAAGAGGATGACTGCCAGAGACCAGCATGAACACATATGTGTCACTAGATTACTGGTTACCTGTGCCTAGAGAAGGTGCCACCATGAGACATTGAGGACAAATTTAGGCAAGAATCCATACTGCACAAGGTATTAAAAAAAGGTTAGAATGGGTAAGAGGGGGTGGATGGGGCTTAATTTTTGCCCAGAGATGGACTTTAACATTACCACATATTGATGAGATTGTTTACAAGTTGATCTATTTTATATGTTATCTAAAAAAAATATTGAAAACTAGGGATGCACCGATACGATTTTTTCAAGATCGAGTATGAGTACGTTTCCTCAAGTATTTGCTGATACCAATTGCTAATAACTTTTTTTTTAGGGTTTTATGAAAGTTTTTCTAAAACAATAAAGACTAATGATTTTAGAACAAGGATAAGGTGGTGTGGACCCCAGACTGAAGGAAGGAAGGCCCGGTAACCGGCAATGTTGGCACTTACCAGGGCCCTCTCCCTCCTGTTCGGGCTCCCCCAGTGTCCAAATGCTAGTTCTCACTCGCAGCTGGGACCGCTGTGAACCTGGTAGTTCCCCCACTGTATAGAGGACTACAAATCCCAGCAACACATTAGACAGCAATGCAGAATACTACCAGGTATAGAAGGCTACAAATCCCAACAATAAATTTTGCAGGAATGCAGAATAATATCATCAGCTATAGAGGGCTACAAATCTCAGCAATTCATTAAACAGCAATGCTGAATACCACTAGTTACAGAGGGCTACAAATCCCTGCCCCATAGGAAAAGTATTGGTAATTGGTATCGGCAAGTACATGAGGGCCAGTACTTGTACTTGTACTTGTACTTAAAAAAGTGGCATCGGGACATCCCTAATATATATATATATATATAAAACATAGCATAACAGAGAAAAGTAAAGAACATTGCATAAATAAGAATAAATATCAATAAATGAAGTGCTATACAGTTTGAGTAGAGACATGTGCCATATATAGCACAATTTATTTAATTTAGGAAAGTAGATTAACAACAGGTCCCGTGCACAAGTCACAACAATAGTAACTGAATAGTAACACAGATTTTTCTGCCAGGGCACACACAGCCAAGGACACCAAAGCAGTAACAGCGTAGTGACAGATCTACGGGACAGGTTGTATGTATTTAGGGCAGACTTACATGCTGCTTTCGTCTTTAGAAAAATGTTTTCAATATTGTATAAACACAGTTAAAGATGTAACATGAATCAGTTTTGTTTGTGAATTTATTTTACAGCACTAACTATCACAGCCAGACACAATTAATGGTGTATATAGATTGCACAACTCAAGGAAAGCTTCCATCTGTCATCAAAATAGAAGAATTAAATTCATACCTTTCATAGTTTATCTTCGTGCCCAGCACTTGCAAGCTCAGAATTCCCAGAAAACCAACGTTCCACAGCAGAAGATACATCTTCCTGAAGCTACACAGAGAAATAAGTTAGCAAACAGACTGCAAACGGCTGGATGCTGACTAGATGTTAATTGAGTGATCGCTGGCTCGGTGTAATTATTGTAGAAGACTGTAGTTTACAGCTCATATATTAACCCACACCTGCCTGACACTGACAAAATGTTTGAGATTCTGCCCCAAAGCTTTGTTGAGGGCCAAATCGGTTTAATCCACACTTTGCAGTGGCACCAGACATTCTGGCACTCCCAGTACAGTGGGATTTGTCATTGTCCTTGTTTAATTTAACTAGCATTGTCTAGATCCTTAATAGGAATGATCATTTGCTGTAATGAGAGATGAGCTCTATTCTCCAGCAAAGGCATGCACTTGTAATTCTGCTGTTCATAAAGAAGACACAGGAAGAGTCATAGATGAAACAGCAATGGGGCGTTTATAAGAATTTTTTAGCGATAAATCTACCCTAATGCTGGATACTTATGAAAAAAAAGATGGACATATGGAAAAACAGGACATATAAGGAACAACTATACACATACAGTCCTTGAACACACAAGAAAACTGTCTATCTGGAATCTGTTTTATATCTGCTACTTCAGTAGTTCTCAACCTTTCCATGTTAGGATCTAGTTTCTAACTTTCCCAAACTAGTAAAGAATGTAATTGTAACACAGATCTTTTTAAAAAGACTTTCCATGAATTATGCATGTTCCCATGATGTTGAAATACCCTTACAATACCTAACTATAACAACCTTATATATCTCTGTAAACTTAAAGCTGATCTACAGAATATCATCAACAATCCTCCCAAATATTCATATTGCACCCTTCATACTACCTATGATTAAACCTATAATGCAGGCAAGAAAACAAAGATATAACTACCTGTTGTGTCATCAATGACCACTATCCTTTCAGATCTGCCATGGCTAAGAGGGAGGGTAAACCTCTGCATGTCATTTCCCCACCTCTTTACATCCTATATTGAACTATGCATCCCATCATGCTATGGGAAGTTTCCTGTGTGAGTGTTCATTGGGCATTCACATCTAGCTGTTCCATGTCCTTTCCATATGAAGAAGGGGTTCTCTCTCCTTTCCCCTTTGCTGCTCCATACCCCCTTACTTTTCCCATTCTCAACTGTTTTTTAACCTATCAGGGAATGCTGAGTAACGGCAGTACTGCCAAAGGAAACAACCTAAGAGGGACCTACCTTTAGGAGGCCCTAATTCAGCAGCACTGACAGGGCAATAAGTGTTAGCACAAAGAAAAAAATAAGGATGAATGGAAACATCTAGTGGCAGCTAAAAGAACTACAACATACATCTCACTATATAAATAACAATGGTGACCTACACTTCTTTAGCGGTGAAGGGGAGAAGGTGGGATTCTAGCCTATTTGAGAGTCCCTTGGTTGTCCTAATAAATGGAAGTACCATACATGCGTAAAATACAGTAATTCAAGTGAGCTGCATGCAAAATCAAAACTTTTTTTAGATTTAGAAAGAGTAAGGAAATGTTAAAACTCATATCAGGTGTTTTTTTTTTTGCTGCCTGTGCCCTGCAGGGAAGACTTCCCTTCACTTCCTGTTATGGAGATGCAGCAAGAAATACGAGAAAATCTCTCCAAAGTGAACAGAATTATGCTCATAAACAGTATTTACAAAAACACATGTCCACGTTGGAGGATTTTCCCTCACCACTTGTTTAATGACAGTTCTAAAACATTTTTTGGAATCAATGGTCACCAGGACAATTGGAGGGGTGAATCTCCCCAGTGGGGACACAGACAGCAATGAAAACTTGACAACTGATCTATCCTTTCCTTACTCTAACTAAAAATCTTCACCTTTACATACACTCAAATGAATCACTCATGTATTTTCCTATGCTAAATCCTGTAGAAGCTGCAGTGGAACAGTTTTAAAATGCCAGTGCCAGGAAGGCACTGAATGGGGCATTGCTCTTCATTGCAGCTCCATGGGACACTCTGTTTTCAGTTATTCAGAGAAAATTGGGTTATGCTTCCTCCTTCATGAGGACTCGGAAACTGGCACACACAAAAATCATGGGCCAGCCAGATATAGCCCCTTACTCCCATTATGCTTCAGTTTTGTAGAAAAGCAGTATTATGAATAGATTACTTACATGGAGGGGTGGCACCAATGCCTATTAATCCAAGAAACTGATTTTATGGTAAGTACAAAAATCTTGGGGTTTTTTTCTCGCTCATTAGTAGACACAGGATCCTGTTTTTCAGAAACAATCTGAACATCCTAAAGCAGTCCACCTGAGGGATGAGTAACAGTAACGACGCACTAACAGACCCACATAACAAAACAGTAAAACTGGGAGCTGCTGTCAGGCAGTCTCTGTAGTTCTAGCAGCCTGTATTGCTGGCTGCAGCCTTGACTGGTGTGGGTTAATTATTCTGTGTCTTGCTGGCTGCAGCGCCAGTCTAGGCAGCTGTGGCTTAATTAATCTAACCACACACCTCCAGCTCTGGGATTGGCCTTGTTGCAGGTGGCACCCTATTTAAGCATCATCAACTTGTTCCCCAGTGCTTGTGATAGTTCTGGCTATACAAGCCATGCTCTGTCTCTGCAATCCTGTGTCTGGAAATCTTGTTTGTTTTTGATTTTGACCTTGCCCTATCCCTGGATTACGCTTTTCCCTCTGCCAGCCCTGACCTTAGCCTCTGCCCGGATTACCCTTCCCAGCCACCACCATTTTAACTCAGTTCATCCCGGATTACGCTCTGGTAGCGTCTTTCTTCTTCTGTTAGTTTCAGCAAGTCGGGCCAGCCTGGGGCATCACCTGTTCAGAGCATAAAGTCCTGGGGGCATCCACGTACTGGTAGGCGTGCTTGCCTTATGGGAACGGTGGCTGCTATAGGTGAAACAACTCATCACTATTTGCTCTGACAGCGTGCATCCACAGCTGGTCTTGACAGCTTCCAAAAGCGCCTTACACCCAAAGCTGGCATCAGATGAGGCCTGAACATCCACTTGGTAAAACCTAGGCAATGTGTGAACTGAAGATGAGGTGGCAGCTTTGCATACCTGGTAAACAGTATATAAGGTAAACCTGCACAGCACAAACTACTTCCAAGTAATAAAAGGACATTTCATTTGATTGTACTGGAGCCAGACAGAGAGAGATAAAAGAATAATGTCCTTTTTTAAGTAAAAGGCCAAAACCACCTTAGAAACAAAGAAGGCTCTAGGCCTCAATAACACCTTGCCCTTATGTAGGATAAAATAGGGTTCTTACAGAACAGGGCTGCCAGCTCAGACACATGCCTCCCAGAGGTGATGGCAACAAGGGACAAAACCTTGTAACCAAAAGTTGAAAGGGAAACATCCTTAGTGGGTTCAAAGGTGATCTTTAAAGTGCCAAATTTAAATCCCACAGAGTCAAAGGAGGTTGTACAAGAGGGGCCACATGAGAAACACCCTATACAAAAGTCTTGACCAATGAATAGGACAACTGATGTCTTTAGAATAAGGTCGCAAGGGCTGATGTTTGCTCCCTGATGGTACTCAAGGCCAAATGCTGATTCAGACCTGGCAGCAGAAAGGTTATGATTCTCAGTTGAAACTTTATGTACTCACACCAAATGAAATAAACTTGCATATGTGATGGTGGGTGTGACGACATGGTGATGAGTTTATAAGTTAAATGTGTATTGGTGTTGAGTTATGTTTGAGTGCGTTATGCTGTGTGACCTGGTTATGGAAAAAGTATCAGCACCATCCCTCGTTATCTCCCATTGTTCTCTGAGGGAGCTCAGAACAATGACATTCTGGCCAGGCTACTGCTATGGCTGTCTGGAGTTCGTTAGCAGGTGGACACCTGTGGTGTTGAGCAGACCGATTGTCTGGGAGGGGACGGGGGATGTGATGGGATTATATTCTGATTTCATCACTTGCTGTATAAAAGTTTGTGCAGTTGCTCAATAAATCAGAGTTTGTTTACCCTACACTCAAGCCTTGACTAGTGACTGGGGAAACTGGGAGCTAAGGATCTTCAGGTTGCGATATCTCCTCAGCAAGGAAGAAGATAGCGGCGTACATACTTATCCTGAGTACGGGGGTCCGTCACAGTGGGGTCACAGGAGGTAGACTTCCTAGTTTTTTAACAGAGGGGAAATTACTGAATCAGAGTGACTGCTGTCTTTCAAGACATGGGCTTCATTAACCATCCCGTTAAAGCCAGTGACCATAAAGCAGGGTGGTAAATTGGTCCTTGAAAGAAAAGATCTAGTCGATCTGGTGTGTCTACCAGAAGTTTGATGAGGTTGAAATACCACATCTCCCTGGACCAGTTCAGAGCTTTAAGGATCACTCTCTCTATCTCTATGCTGTGAAGTAGATGAGGATCGGTTTTCAGACCTGGAAAGGCTTAGATAATGCTGTACAGATCCCATAGAGCCCCCCCAAGCATCCATGGCTTCCACCAGAGGATCTCTGCATCTGGGGATAAACCTGTTCAGTTTGTTGTTGAACCAGGAGATCCACATCTGGCATCCCCCCACCTGTGACACAAATCCTAAAAATACGTCTGGATGTAGGAACTCAGGCACTGCAGTCAGAGGTAGTTTTCTTGCCAATTATTCATATCTGGCATTTTGTCCACTGGTAAACAGTGGACAAGACTGGAACTGGAATTTCTGCCCAGGCTTCAATTCTTTCTACCTCACTTGGTGTGGCAACAATTCTGGTTCCTCCTTGGTGGTTGATGTACACCACTGAGAAAAACGAAATAGTTCGGAAATCCAGAATGTTGATCAGGAGATGAAATTCTGGTTAACCAAGTCCACTGCACTGACAAGGTGTCTAGGACTCCTCCCCAGCCCTTCAGGCTGTCATCTGTTGTTATGATCTTCCAAGACAGTGAGATGAGAGAATTTCCTATCTTCAGAGATGGATTCCTGAGCCACCAGGCCAGAGATAACCTAATCTTTGGTGCAAGGCAAGTGTAACGTCCCTCCCTGCCGGGCCGCGTCACG